GCTTTGTAGTATATTTTTGCATCAGGGAGTAAAAATTATCAATTCATTTTATACATTCAATCAGTATACATCACTTAGCTTGTAAAGTGAATTTATCCAATGTGACTATACTTCATGCCAGGGGGAGAGTATGGGGAAAGAAATTGAGGAAAATAGAGAGACAAGACCTTTAAGGGACACAGAAATGGAGATCATAGTATTCAAATTGTTATAGAACAGCTTCCTGGAGAACCTTCTGAGACAAGCTAGTAGGTATCCTAGTTTTCTTAAAGCCTTTTACACTGGACATTGGATGTCATTCTGACGTTGTCAGAAACAGTAGACATCTTAAATAATAAATCTGTTGATGTTTTGCTGAGCTGCATAGGATGACTCACCATTTTGGTTTATGGAGAGCATCTGAAGAGGATGATGTGTCCTGCTATAATTTATCTTTAATGCCTAAAGCCTTAACCACAGGCACTCACGGCACAGTTGGTGCAATGAGATGTTACTTGAGATGAGTGGCACAACCACACTCATAAGGGAAGCTTCTCCATAAGTGTGCCTGGAAATGTTTCTGTGTACACCAAGTATGATCTGTGATCCAGGCCCAGGGTGGCAGGGAGAAGACAGTTGTATTTTGATCCCCCCATCCTATAGAACAAAAGACTCTAAGGCAATAGTTCTCAACCTTGCTGCTGATTTTTGACCACTGAAATACCTGAGTTTTCTTGCTCTTTTAAAAATAAAAGTCATGGACCTACCTATGGTGGCATACTGGGAGCCTGGATGCTATATTGGAGGCCTGGGTTCAGTAACTGGGCCAGTCTGAACACACCAGGCATGGTTGCATGCGCCTGTAATCCTAGTGAATTGGGTTAGTGCAGGAGAAACAGACATGGTGAAACCCTGTTGAAACTACCTATCTTTGTCTCCGTCTTTCTCCTTTTCTCTCACTCATAGAAGAAAAAATAATACCTGAGTACCCATCCAAGATTATGGTTTAACCATAATGGGGTGCAGCCCAGACATCAGTATTTTTTAAAAATCTCTTTGTAATATTGCAATGTGCAAACAGGTTTGAGAATCACTGATTTTTTTTTAATCCAAATGTGTTTATTGGGATGGTTTCCCACTCGTCTTGAGTCAGGATGCTTTTAGTGCTGCTTCTCCTGAAGGAACATCCTTCTGTAAGCCTCGCTTTTCCTCCTGTAGGCTGGCAGAGGACAGTGGAGCAGCCAACACACAGAACTACAGTTTGTGCCTGGCTAAGGACTGTGGTGATTTTATAGCGTCCTGGGCACTTCATATCCATGAAGTAGGAATCTGGGCTCTGCACCAGGCACTTCTTGTGTTTTCTCTTCTCCACTTCTGGAGAGGGATGAAGGAGTTCCTTTGTGAGAGGCATGTTCTTGTGGGAAGGTTGTCACCGCCAGAAAGCCAGAATCACTGATCTTTCTTTGACCCATGGTTAATGGGAGGTTGCCACTTTCTTGATATGTTTTACTGTGTGCAGTCAACACACGGGTTTCTGACCTCTGGACAAGAGAAGTTCTTCCACAGTGTCATTCATACCTCAATGCTGGACCAAAGCTCAAGATTCTGGCCTTCTTGCTGCTTACGTAAATAGTCTGATGCTGGCAAGCCACATGCTCCATTGGAAGTCACACCTCTCACTGACACTGAGCACCAGAGTCTAGTGTGGGGCAGGACTGGGCAGTTTTATCAGCAGGGAAGCTACTATCATCATGGTTCAAGTCTCCAAGTTCAGTCTCACCACAGTATAAACACACCTACCAAGAGCAGCTAACAGCAGCTGTGGTTGCAGATGGCTCTCAGCAGCACCATAGTGATCAATAGGACCAAGCACCTTATAAAAGGTGGCCAAAAGGAGTTGAGAAAAAAGAAAGGTATGTTTTTTGTTTGTTTTGCCATCAGGCACGTGTACTTGCCAGAGAGAGAAAGCGAGAACTCCACCACCAAGGTGGATGGTCATGCTGCAATCCTTTCTCCTTTATTTTTTTCTTGAGATTATGGGCATTCACCCAGCAAGATTTTCTTTACTTTTCTTTTCTTTTTTCTTTTTTTTTTTAGAGATTTTTGCTATAGGGCGTGTGCGCTCGCCAGAAAGAAAGAGAGAGAGAGAGAGATAGAAAATGAGAAATCATCCCTGAGGGGATGGCCACACCGCAATCCATTCTCCTCTTGGGATCTTGGGCACACACGCGCACACGCCTGGCGTGAGTTTAAGCCATCGGGTCCAGGACTTGAACCATGGTTGACTACGTGGGAGTCCAGCGACATAGCCATTACGCTAACTGCTGATCCCCAGCATGATTTTCAGGCTACTCAGTTCAGGACTTGCACTGCAGTTGGTAATCCAGCACCTTAGTCACTATGCCACCTTCTCACCCTGAAATGTATGTACTTTCTTTTTTTTTTTAAGAGTTTTTTTTGTGAACATATGTACTTTCTCAGAATTATCAGCATAATATGAAAGCGCTAGGTATGTTCACTGTAACATACATTGAAAAAACATTAGTCACAAAGATACAAGGAACTAAAATGGCATCTGATTGGTTTCAAGGACCATGTTTCTGAAGTGAGTTTTGCTGCAGGGAAAAAAAATGAAGTGACATTTAGAGCAATTCAAGCTAATTACTGACATAGTTCAAGCAAAAGCTGCCTGTACAACTTCCTTGGGATGGAACTTACCTGCAACATAATGTGTTTCTTAGTCAAATATGGCAGACTCAGATCAAAGCTACATGACTTCAAGGCTATGGAGGGTTGGTTGCTTCATCTGTTCTTTGTGGGTATGTTTCCTCTTCCTGTTGCAATAAATGATCACAAAACGAATATAGTGGAAAGCAACACCAATTTATTCTCTTTCAGTTCTGGAGGCCAAAAGTCTGAAATGGATCTTATTTGATAAAAAACTAGATGTTATAACTTCTGGAGACTCTGGAGGAGAATCCATATCCTTGCCTCCTTGCCTTTATGCTTTCTTTGACTTTTGGATTTTTCTTTGTATCACTGAGACATCTGCTTCATCTTTACATCTTCTCTCACTCACCTGGAAATCTCTTATAAGGACCCTGGTGATTACATTGCACTCTCTCCACTCCCGATAATGCAAGATAATGTCTTAAGATCTTCAATTTACTTGCATTTGCAATTTTCTTTTTCTGTGTAAGGCAACATATTCACAGATTCCAGGGATACAGACATAGACATCTCTGGGGGACAATTATTCTACCTATCACAATGGGTTTGCTGGGGGTAGGGGCAGTTTCAGATTTAGAAGACCTCTTTTGAGCACCTACAGGTCTGCCAAATCTGGAAGAAGATGAAAATCACGACCACAAAGGTACAGAAAAACTACTTAAGAGGAGTCCAAGCAGCCCTGGGCAAGGTCTAAAAGAGACTTGTCAATCCATCCGTTCATCATGGATTTGCTAGTAAAGGAAATGTGATGCAGAAGCACAATTTTGAATTGGGGAAATCCAATCAAGCTTCCTGGTAAAGACAGTGATTCTGGAAAAGGACCTAAAGTTGGATGAATTCATGGACACGAGTCCCTATCCAAAAATCTACTTAAAAGAAGTTACAAATGGTAGGCCAGCCTGAGTACAGTAGTAAAGGGCTGTGCAGAAGGAGCTGGATTCCATATGGACCCCTGGTGGGTTTGAATCCCAGCACCAGCATTTGTAAAACATACTGGGTATTCATATACATATCCAAGATCCCAACAGGATGGAGAAATGGAGGGAATAAAGGATTGTGACATGGTTGGGTACTATTGGGAGAAAGGCGCTCTCTCTCTCTCTCTTTCATGTATACACCCTCTGGCATTAAAGATTTTTTAAACAATATTGATAAATTAAAAAAAAAACATTATCGGCGCAAAAGTAGTTAAAAAGTTTATCTTTCATTTAGTTAATCTCAAATGACTTAATCATAATATTTTTTTTTAGGTTTTTGCCATAGGGTGTGTGTTCTCATAGGAGAGAGACAATGACAGAGAAAGAGAGAGAAATCACCCCCTTCCCCCAATGAAATGGCTGTGCCACAATCCCTTCTCGTCTATTCTCCTCTCAGGATTTTGGACATGCATACACATGTCCCTGGCATAATTTTCAAGCCACTGGGTCTAGGATTTGAAACATGGTCATTCATGAGGAGTCCAGCACCTTAACCACCACACTGCCTACTGGCCCCAACACTCACTAATTTTGGAGATGGAAGCTTCTTATGGCTCAAAAGTTAATGCTGCCTTCTTTCTTCATTGATACTATTTTGCAATATTCTAAGAAGCAATGAGACATGAAATGTTTTAGGAAGGAGACCCCAGGTGCCAACCCTGGAACATGCCTCCCAGTGTCTGGAGGTTATTCAAGAGGGCAAAAACCACTGACAGGGGATATAGCGAGGCGGGGCGTCACCCACTGGACTACGTTATGCAGCCAGACACGACTGTGGTTGTCTGGAGCTTAAATCCTATGGGGGAAGGAAACCCTGGGAGCCAGAGTAAAATATACACTCTAACTCCTGAGCAATAAGGCCGCTTGAGGATCATACACTTACTGCCCATCTGTCACTGGTGAAGGGCTGCTCCTAGCAGATGTTACCCCTTGGTATTTCCAGTCTGCCCAGCTACAAGGCAAAGGATCCAGAGTCAAAGAGAAAGTCCCTTGAGCCACAAAATGCAAATCTGGAGGTTCAAAGTGATGTCTGGTGGAGGTAAAGGCAATGAGTGGGTGTGGGTTGGGCACTAACAGGACCTGTTGTAACAAAATCCATCACTAGCCTAACTGTTAGGATGGCTTCAAAGGGGGGGTAGCCCTTACCCCCACACATAAGGGTTGTTCTGCCACAGTTCAAATGGTCAGAAAGAGCAGAACCAAAAAGGGCAGACTAATGCTTCTGCAGCTGTATTTTAAAGCAGAACAGGATGATGAATAGACACCCAGTGGCATGGCTTTTGTGTTTCAAAACATTACACTGAACATCGGGCATTGAATTATTTGCAAAATGGCATTTATATGACATAGAATGGAACAATGAGTGCTTAAAATATAATTGACAAGTCAAACAAAAAAGAAAAGCTAATAAGCATAAATTTTCACTTTGTGGACTTCCTTGTCATCGCACTCCCTCTGTTTGTTGTAGTAATAGAAAGTATTGTCCCTTCTCTGAAGTTTCTTCACATATCCTGTCTCAGGCCAGCGATCTACCTGCACATCAAAAATCAGAACACAAATATTGAAAGGCTCGTTTTATTTTTATCTGATATTTCACAACTGAATCCTTAAAAGGACAACTCACACACACAAAAAAAATTGAAGTATAAAATTAAATTTTAAAATGCTTGAGCTCTTAAGATGATGACACATAAAACACACACTAAGTTGCCATCATATAGTGCAGGACAACAGAGCCCAATTTCTAAATGCAGACTTCTACACTGTAATCAAGATAGAGCACACGTTCGAAATAATCTAAATGTCATTCTTCTTATATTTGCAAGTGATCTCACACTTGAGAACTCCTGAAAGTAATACCCCAGGAGGAACATAGAACTAGGTCCAGGTTCCATTCTGACAGCAATGCCTACTGACTGTTGATACTTAAGTTGACTAAAGAAAGCAGCTAGACTCAAGGATATCTAAAAGCATATATGTATTTCCTCCTGTCTAAATTTCAAGTTCCCCTTGTAATCTAATTTTTAATAGAAATTTGAGGTCACAAGTATAGTCCTAAATAATCTTTTCTTCTTCCTACTATTTCTTTTTTAGAGAGTTTTTTTTTTTTTCTATAGGGCGAGTATGCTTGCCAGAAAGAGAGAAACAAAGAGACAGAAAGTGAGACATCACCCCCCCCGGGGGATGGCCACGCTGCAATCCCTTCTCCCCCATTCTCCTCTCAGGATCTTGGGCACAAATGCACACACGCCTGGCTTGAGATTAAGCCACCGGGTCTAGGACTCAAACCACGGTCGACTACATGGGAGTCCAGCGACATAGCCATTACACCAACTGCTGGTCCCCCTATTATTTATTCTTCCTTATATGACATACTGATTTGCTCACTTTACCATTTGGCTTGATCTAATTTGAACATTTTCTACCCTTCCACTCAAATTCAATGTTATGCGTTCTTGATCAGGTTCTTCTTATTGTTTAATATATTCCTCCTGTATTTTAGAGATGCACTTTATCATTGTAAAAAAACCATTATTGGGGCCAGTAGGTGGTCAAGGTGGTTAAAGTGCTGGACTCCCACATGACAGACCCTGGTTCGAGTCCCAGACCTGGTGGCTTAAAAATCATGCTGGGCATGACCAAAATCCCAGGAGAAGGTATTGCAGCATGGTCATCCCCTCTGACATGTAAGTTGTTACTTTTGTTGGAGTTCTTTCTCTGAGACTTGGAAAACCCTTCCCTGAAAGAAAAGATGTGGATAGTTGTTGGGATCATCTGACAAACGTTATTTGTGTCAGCAGTTCTTTTATATAGTTCCACATCCAGGGTTACATGCAGGCAAGTAAATACTATGTGTGCAGGAAAGAAGCGTTCTGGTTAATGTATAACTTTATGAGTTCTGGGATATGTTTATGAACATTTTGGGGACATGTTTATTGCAGGTCCCGGAGAGCAGTATGTGAACTTGACCCTTTGCCTAGTCTAGGAAGACCTTCTCCTCCTCAGACCTTCTGGAGGTTATTGGCAGTCACATGTCCCGAATCTGTAGCAGCAAGCTGAGCAAACCTTGTAGGCCACAGGTACTGCGGTCACCCCGAAAGATTCCTCCTTGCCATGATGGCGGTGTTCACCTGTGCTTCAGGGGTAAATGACAACTACACGCGTTGGACATATGTCCCATATCCACCACTTTTCCAGCTAGTGGATTGGACCATGCCAACACCCATGGCGTACACTAATTCTTCTCAGTTTTTCCCTTCCCCATGCGACAATTCTGGACCTCCCTTCCCAAAAGAGGAAGGGGGGATTAATCAACATTACCTTAAGATATCAAACCTTGCCCATGTGTCTTGGAGGACAAGCCCCATGCTTACATTCTTTCCAAATGGTGGGGATTATAATTCCCGTATCAGGACAAAATTACAAATAGGAGTCTTTGCTGCAGTTACGCTTTTGTTCAATGTTTCAGAAGAAGCAGGGGGGGCACACATGACCAATCGCACAAACACCTTCATGGTGCCCCCAGAGCCACCTCGCAACTCAGTATCTTGGCGTAAACATTCTGGCCTTCTCACCATTGGAGTACTTGCCGAGGTTGTTTAGGGAAACTATCTGTCACAGGAAGATACACATTTTTGGACTGGGGCCTTCGGGTTCTTTAATAACTGCTCAGAGGAAGACGCTGAAGGTGATGTTTGGTGCAATGGTACATCTGTACACTTCAATCATGTACTTTTGAATGAGACCACTATTAAACTTTGCCGAGAAATTGATGATGTCATCACGTGGCATAATGGGGGATTGGCCCCTCCACAACCTTGCATACTCCTGCCCCTCGGTCCTGAACAATAGCACATTTGTAAAACAACAGCCGCTATGCAGAAATTCAGCACGACATCTGCCCAGACACACTTCACCTGTCCACAAAACTGTGCGATCACATTTAGCCAGACAGGATATGTCACTGCCTGTGTAAAACGGCCATACATCTTTGCCATAGGCAAACTTACTTTCAATGAGACACAAAAATTTCTCAACTGTGTCACTGTAAATTTTTTTCCCTTTTAAAAAATTAATTTATTTTTACATTTTTCCACAAACATTTACTTTACGTATCACAAACTTTTTGCTCATACTCCATAGTTCTTGACAGTTAATAAACTTTCAAAATTTCAAAATACTGAATTTTAAAGATAATGTTAAAAATATTTCTTATAATTTTGTGTAATTTTGTTTATAACTCTTTAACAGCAGAAACAGTATGGTTTTAAATATTTTTGAGAAAACATTTACATGTCAACTACTCAAATTGTTTTTTATTTTTATTTTTATTTTTATTTATT